CAGCGCCCCCCACCCAAGCTCCTCCCGCCCTGGTGCTTTGCAGCTGCCCTGCTGTCGGAGCCCTCGGCCGGCCCGAGGCGGCGCGCTGGGGACGGGCTGCAGGGCGCGCCAGGCCCTGCCCAGCCGAGGAGCAGTTGGGCCAAGCGTTTGTTGGGCTTCGAATGGGCTGACCTGTCCAGCTGGCACCGCTTCGTCTGCCTCAGCGCCCCCCACCCAAGCTCCTCCCGCCCTGGTGCTTTGCAGCTGCCCTGCTGTCGGAGCCCTCGGCCGGCCCGAGGCGGCGCGCTGGGGACGGGCTGCAGGGCGCGCCAGGCCCTGCCCAGCCGAGGAGCAGTTGGGCCAAGCGTTTGTTGGGCTTCGAATGGGCTGACCTGTCCAGCTGGCACCGCTTCGTCTGCCTGCTCAACAGGCCCACGGACCCGGCCTCCCTGGGCATCTTCCGCTTCCTCTTTGGTGAGTGCCCTGATCCCGGCCCCTCAAGCCGCGCTGGTGCTGGGGAGCCCGGCTGGCCAGGGTCACCTCTGGAATCATCCGTGTGTCCGGGACCCTGTGTCCTGCGGCAATAAAGTCCCTTAGGTGCTGGGGATGATGGTGCTGTCATCTCCCCTGTGGAACCCAGCCTCCTGATCTCAGCATGTCCTGCTGGGTCAGTGTTGTTTGCCATGTTTACAGATGGAAACTAAGGCACAAGGGGGCTAGAGGGAGAGCAGGGTTGGGGAGAGGACCCAGGAGCTTGCTCTCTGTCCCTCATCTGTGTGGGGCTCCAGGAGCGGAGAAAGGAGGAGCCCCTCCTCCCCAGCCACAGCCCTGACCCTGGAAGCAATGCATCCCTGGGTCTCCCAGCCCCTGTGGATTGGGGTGCTGCTTGAGGGGACCCATGTAGGCCCTGCTCAGAGTCTCTGACTCCCCCCAGCTGCCCTGCCATTGCTGGGCTGCCTGCGGGTGGGTCCAGTCCCTGGGCAGAGCTGGTTTTGCAATGTAGCTAGGGCCAGTGGCCTCTGCTTGCGGGGGATGGAGGGACTTTGGCCTCAGCATGGGGAAGGGAGGCCCCAGTGATCAGGAAGGCGCCATAGGGGGCTTCCAGCTCTGCCTCCCGGGGGAGGGGCAGATCTTGGTGTTTGGCTGCCCAGAGATGGCAGCACATGGGCACTGGGAGCTTGTGGGAATCCCCTGGCCACACCCCTCCTGCCCCCAGTGCGCCCTGGAGGGTGGGGGTGAATCTGGGTCAGGTCCTTCCAGGAGGGGCCTTGCGCCCCAGCACAGCACATGCTCTCAGACAGGCCCGGTGGGGAAGGGGGGAACCCTCTGGCTGTTCGCGGGGGATTCCGGGGCTCGGGGGAAGAGTCCTGCAGCCACGCTGTGAGGCAGACACAGGCTGGCTCAGCTCCTGGGAAAAGGGGGCTCAGTAGGGGCACTGTCCTCCACTGACTCTACTGTCCCTGCACAGTGCTGGGGAGGGGGCTCAGCGCCAGGACTCCTGGGTTCTCTGCCCAGCCTTGCCCTGGGCAAGCCTGGTTCCCCGCAGCCTGGCACCTTTCACAGGTGCTGGCTTCCCACGACGCGGCTCCTGCTGCTGCCTGTGGCAGCCTCTCCTGGTCCTTAGCAGCCTTGCTGGGCCAGGCAGGCTTCATCCAGAGGCCCACGGTCTGGGTCTCCCAGCTGCTGTGTGAGCCAGACCTGGGGCTGCATCCCTGGGTGAGGCTGGGCCCCTCTGCCAGCTCAGGGGAGTGTGGGAGGGAACAGCAGGATCCCTGCTGGGCTGCTATAGCCAGTGAGGCCAGCCCTGTGGGGAGGCGGGGTGCCTGGGTTCCTGAGGGTAGCCTTGGCAAGTCTTGTTTCCCTGCCGGTGAAAGGGGTGTGGTGCTCAGCCAGGGCTGGGTTCAGGTGGAGGGTCCCCGTGGGGAGTGTTTGCGGTTGGTTGGGTGGGTTCTTGGTGGGGTAGGGGTGGCTCTTGGCAGAGCTGCCATGTGGTTGCCTCATTGCTGAGGTTCTGTGCCCGACTGCACAGGCTGCTGGCCCCACCTCCAGGACTGGCTGAGCCTGGGGGGCCCAGTTACCTCTGGGCTAGCCATGAGGGAAGGGGGGCCAGGGGACCCTCCCCATAATGTGTCTGCCCATGTGTCAGGATTGCTGATGGCCCTGGACATCCCCCAGGAGCGTGGCCTGAGCTACCTGGACCACAGGTACCTGGATGGGCTGGAGGTCTGTCGCTTCCCCCTCTTCAACTTCCTGGAGCCGCTGCCCCTGGACTGGATGTACCTACTCTACACGGTCATGCTGCTGGGTGAGGGCCCTGGGGGGGACTGCTGGTGGGTGGGGCTGGGCACTACTGAGGGATCAGGGAGGCTGGGGAGGACCAGAGGAGGCGGGACTGGAGGGATTGAGTGTCATGGGCAGGGCTGGGGGGTCTGGATGTCACAGCTGAGGGGGCTGGCTGGGGCTGGGGAGGTGCAGTGTCTGAGAGGCCCTGACTGGTTTGATATCGGGGCCTAGCCAGCCCATGCTAGACGCAGCCATGCCAGGGCAACTTTGCCAGTTGGTGACC